ATCGCTTCTGAGAAATTAAATAACAAATACAAATTTTTCAAAATTCGATTTCTCAGAAATTATTTGACTAATTAATCTCTCGCAAACAAAGGCATTTAGAGTATTCTTAACTAATAAAATATGTATAATAATGAACAACTTTAGAATTCAGAAAAAAGATATATTTTTTTGATTTTTTTTTCTTCTTTAACATTGGATTTCCCATTACATTATTAAAAAATCTTTACCGATGTGATGAAAATTAATGATATAACTACAAATAGTACTAAAGTACATCAGTTTCAATTTTCTACTTTCCCCGTATATTTGAAGTAATCATTTTCCAAACTGAATTTGACCTATCTTATACTAGAAAAAAAAAAAAAACTTGGGAAAAAAACTTAAAAAAAATATAATTTAAATAAAATATATCTTGCTCAAAACTGGAAAACATATATCGACACAATTAAAGAGCTTAATGGAAGAACCAGGTAANTTGACCTATCTTATACTAGAAAAAAAAAAACTTAAAAAAAATATAATTTAAATAAAATATATCATGCTCAAAACTGGAAAACATATATCGACACAATTAAAGAGCTTAATGGAAGAACCAGGTAAGTGACATTTTTAGGAGAAAATTATGAATGAAAAAAAATAACAAAAAGTGGTTGCGTCAATATGAATAGTGGTTGCTTAAATGATTCATTTTAATCATCAATTAATTTTTTTAAACTTTAATTTTAATCTTAACTTCACTCAAGCGCATAAGTTTTCAGTATGCTTACAAGATTTTCATTTCAAATATGGCACAGGTAAATAAAATAAAGAAGAGAATTTTATCCCGGCTTCTAATAAAAATTGGCGATGAAATAGTTCGGATGCAATTTTTTTTTTTTTTCGTTATACGAACATCACTTACCTCGTTTTTCTACTAAGTTCTTTAATTAATATAGCTGTTGTTGTCCATTTACGTCGCACTAGAGCTGCACAATGGGCTATTGGCGACGGTCTGGGAAACATCCCTGAGGATGATCCGAAGACATGCCATCACAATTTTGATCCTCTGCAGAGGGAATGGCACCCCCGCTTCGGTAGCCCAACGACCTGCACGCGAAGTCGAGCACTTTACGGTAGAAACAGTTTAACGAGGACCAATACCGCACACCCTCGGTCCCTACGCAGACTGATCCAAGTGGTCACCCACCCGCACACTGACTCAATTAATATAGCTTTTATTTAATAATGCATCCTTATTGGTGGCTTTACGTTATTGAAATAAAAACTCGTTTTGTGTAATTCATTTCATAAGAATAAAAAATAAATGCATTCAGCATTGCTTGGTGTGATGCTATTCTTCATGGCTAACTCATACTCTTCAAAATTTACCTGTGTCAAGTAATTATCTTCGATACATGTCCCTTTCGAGAGGAAGTAAAACACTTATTTCCAAGGTTTCGGTAGTTAAGCTAATTAGCATTGGTGTTTTAATACTCACAAATTATATAAGTATAATATTTAATACATATGTTAGCATATTTAGTACTAATTAGTTAACCCTTCATAAAATAACCTTTGGATAAACGAATATTATAATTCAATGCAATTTTTTTATTTTCATTTAAATGTTCTCGAGATATTTTAAAATATGCATAAGGTTAAAGTACGTACAAGCGTCCAACCATATTTACGAGATTGCGGCTACCTCCTTTCTTTAGGGGATCAAAAATCAAAATCCGTCAAAGAACATGTATGTTTATTTAGAGTAAAAATATTTTTGTGTTGTTTTAGAAACTTAAAATTTCGTCTGCCCTTATTAATTAGAAAATTTGAGCTCACCCTTCCCCCGAGCCATTTAGGTTGAGTCTTAGAATATTAAGATCCGACCAGTGGCCCCCATCTCCCCCAGGGCCTCTGAATCCGACTATTCGATCAAAAGTAATTCCGCGTGGTCCGCTTTATTATGTACTGAACATATGAGACTCTGAACCTGAAGTAAAATATTTCCTTGCAATTTTATTAGGTGTCACATTTGAATTTAATTATTTTTGTAAATTATGTGTAAAAGTATGACACAATGTTATAAATGTCAACATTAGTTGACTTTTAAATACAAAAATACGTGAAAAAAAAAANTGGAACAGTTTAGTGGGGGTACGCGTTCTTATGCGAAATATCTTGCAACGAACGAAAATTTCAAAAACTTTATTTAAAAACAAAGCTAGCTATGAAAGTTTACGATTACGTATTTTTCTATTAGCTATTTTTTGCAGAGTTAACAGTTAATAATCAGTGGTGTCAACAGCCAGTTGTGTTTATTAACTTTTGTGCAATTTTTATAGTACAAAATGCATTCATTTTTTTATTAGTGGTACACAGCGTTACGAAACATTTAGAAGGGGTTCACAAAAGTCATAAGTTTGGGAAACACTGCTTTTGGGGATCAAAAATCAAAATCCGTCAAAGAACATGTATGTTTATTTAGAGTAAAAATATTTTTGTGTTGTTTTAGAAACTTAAAATATCGTCTTATAATTGAAAATCCTTATTAATTGAAAATTGAAACTTAAATACTATCTAGAATTTTGACAATTTTTTTTATCTTGATTTGAGTGACTAAGGTATAAAACATGGTGCGTAGCGTTTTTGAAAAGTGCTTAAAGGTGCTTATTTTCAATTTTCATTTTTTAAAGGCCCTTAAAGGTGCTTTTCTTAATGGGTGTTTTTAAAAGGTGCTTTATTTTCCCTTTTCGAAAATGAAATTTATGAAAGGGAATGTCGATTTTCGCCACGTATTATGTAACAATCAATAAAACAATCAATAAAATAAAATTCTCTCGATATAATAAATTACCCAAAAGAGCTCAAAACGAATAGTCATGACTAGGACTGGGCGATATTAGAAATTATATATCGTGATGCATCGTCAGTTTGGCATCGCGATATAGTATTTTCGTATTTTGTATCGCGATATAGTATTATTTAATTTCATTTACTTGTAAGGCACAGAAAATCAGATTTCTATCAAAACTCCATACTCAAATTGATTTAAATCAATTTATAAATTTGAAGATATGTATGTTTTGCTTAAGAAAGATATTAAATAAATTGACTACAATGTACAAATCTTGTTTCAATGTTTATAAAAGTTATAAAAATAATTTATTTTAACCAAGATTAAGTTTAAAATAAAATAATCAAATTTTGCGTTACCCGCAAAGGAAAACCGCGAAAATGTTTTTCGGATTGCTTGGAGGTAATAGGATTTCAACTAAATGTTCATCCTTATCTCAATGAAATAATTTTTTATAAGCAACAATTTTTGATTATTATTTAGGCCTAACCGTTGTGGATCAGAAGATCAGGAGTCTCCTTGAGGTCAGGCTAACCGTGGGAGGTTTTCATGGTTTTCTTCTCCATGTAACGCAAATGCTGGTTAGTTCCATCAAGAAGTCCTCCACGAAGGCAAATTTCTTTCAATACCTGAACCAGGACTATCCTTGTCTTCTGGATTGGATTTAAAATTGAATTTACGGAGTTGAACATCAGTAGGAGTAAACACAAAATTAGGTCGGCTGTTCGACGACGGTTATAAAATTATGAAACAGATAATGTATCAATTTATTGAATATAAACAAACAAAATAAGCTACAATTTAAGTATCGAAATACAATTATATACTTATGAAAGCTATAAAAACAACCTATTTTAAATAAAATTAAATTATCAAATTTTGCGTAACATGCTAATGAAAACTACAAAAATGTTTTTCAGATTGTTTTTATCGGTAATAGGCATTCCAGCCAAATATTCATTATCTAAAAGAAGTTATTTTTAAATAAAGAATTTTTTTTTTCTTCCCGTCCTTGATAGATGGTTTATCATCTTTGTGAATATAAGGAAACGTCATTATTTTTAATTCAACCCAGAAATCAAAATTACTCATAAGTTACTTGGAGTACAATCATAATCATTAAAGTTATAAGAATAACTTATTTCAATTAAGACTAAATAAAAATAATCAAATTTTGCGTTACATGCAAGGAAAAACCACAAAAAAGTGTTTTAGATTCCTGAACGGTAATAAGATTCTAGCTAAATGTTCTTTATCGCAATGAAATTATTTTTTTAACCATTAATTTTTTTAATCATCCTTGACAGACAAATTGTCATCTTAGTGAATGTTGTGAGACACTTTTCTTATATTTTTAACTTTTAACACGACCCAAAAATCAAAGTAACTTGCAGTTTAAGTATCAGAGTAATATAAAAGCTATTGTAGTAACCTATGTATTATGACCTATATATAACCTATATATTAACCTATATATAATAGGATTNGGAGTACTGCAGCGGTTGAAAGGGGCTTTTCAGCAATGAACTTACAAAAAAGCACATTACGTACTTGTCTTAAACAAGAAACTTTAAACGCAATTATGAACATCTACCTTTACTTCGAATAATATTAAATGGCTATGTGTTTAACTTTTTTTCCTTCTGAGTTATTCCATGAGTCCTGGAAATTAATAGCCAGACCTTGTATGAATGTAAATGTTCCTAATTTCAAATGGTTATTATTACGAAAAGTTATTTGTAAAAAATTTTAGTCATATTATAACCCTTTTCTGTTTCGGCTATTATTTTTAATTCCATAATTAAAAACAATATATCCAGCAATTATTTTTTAATTCCATAATTAAAAACAATATATCCAACAATTAAAAACAAATCATTTCAACAGAAAAATTTCAATGTGTAACTATAATTTTACTACTAAGCATTCAAAAACCTTCTGTGAAGAAAGATATATTTTACTAACAGTTAAAAAAATGAATTGCTCAGTTTTAGTATAGTTGAGTTATAATTATTTTACTCATATAATGTAATAAAATGTACACTTTGTAGATTTCTCCATTCATACCCTTCCATATATGAACAATAAAATATAATCCAATCAACAAGTCTTTCCTTTATAATTATCTAAAAAGATCATTCCGTCTAAACTAAATTTAAAAAAAAAAAAAAAAACATTTCTAATTTATTTATAACTCACAAAATGTGATTGATTTATAAATTTTAATATTTACCAATAGGCGATCCTTTCCTGAGCCGTCGTCCACCATCAAAAATTTTCTATCTCGCACATACTGTTATTTTTGAGGCAAAACCAAATCATCTAAACTATGAGGAAGATTAGGCCTTTCTTTATGTCTCACTTTATACAGGCATTGTTTAATTGAGTCATATGACGGAAGATTGGCAGCTGCTTCAGCAGAGGTAGCTAATTTACCGATCTCTTCACTAAAATTTCAGAAAAAGACAGGAACAAATCAGTTTAAAGAAAAATAATGCATGCAAATGTGAATTATATTAGATACTAGCATAATTTTTTAAACTTAGAATAATGTTGTTTCAAAGGAAAAAGAAATCTAAGCATGCATAAAAAAATTATACTAAATAATACCTGGATTCATTATAGATGTTTTAAAATTATTTATTTAAATCAGAATTGGAGTTTTAAATATTTATGCCAAGTAAAAATTAAACATTGACAATTCGCTATTGAATAAGCATGGCTAATAAATATATTGTACAAATAACTTATTATATGCTATTAAAATGGGAAAAAAGTTTCTATTCTACTTTGTTAATCTATATTATTTTACAGTAAGTATACTTATAATCTATATTGTAAGACTCTCTTTGTAATGAAATAATTGTTTGCTACAAATTATAACCTTTTAAAAAAAATAGCGAATTGCAATATAGTGCTTTCTTTGCGCAAGGAAAAATTTATTAAAAAATTATTATTAAAAAATAAATATGGAAATGAACTACTTTTGACTGTCTAAGTACAAAAAACAATATATACTAAATATAATTTTTAACAAAAAAATATGTATATATATATTCTAGCCCAATGAGTAAGCTTGGTGAATCATGTAATGGAATTAGGAAGAAAAAAAACTTCACAGTTTCTTGCCATTTCAGATTAAATTTAATTTGTACTATAGCCTTTCTCTAATTAATATCATAAGCATTAATATCATTTTTAAGATCTAAAATTTTATATTTTATTACTAAAAGCACAAAAAAATATCTTTTTACATATCCATTCTGTCAGTAAATAAGCACTCAAGATGTAGGAAAGGCACAAAACATTTGTCGCATAAATAAACTAAATAATTTTAATATATTTGTCGCATAAATATATTAAAATTATTTAGTTATTTGTAATTTTAATCACTCTCACTACAGAAATTTAAAAATTGTTTACATTTTTTTACAATATAATTTCTATTGTCGAAATTTGTGAGAAATATGAATAATCTCAAAATTTTAGTTTGAATAAATAAAAATATAAGTTTTAAATTTTTTTCATAAACAATTCAATTATTTTATGTATCAAAATTTTTCTGAGATTGCATTATTTACAGCAAAATATTGTTACTTTACTATTAAAATTTTATCATCACTATTAAAGTAAATAAAAATATGTGTTAATTATTTTTTGCATTTATTTATTTTTAAAGAAAGTGCAAAATATAAAACTAACATTAATGGGACAAAAATATCTAAAAACAGTTGGCTTAGTTGTAAAGAAATTATTAAAACTATATTTGAATTTTTACAAAAAAAAAATTTATTTATATATATATTTACATAGTTTAACTACATACATAAAATTGCAAATTTTTTAGCGCTCGCATTTTGAATGACTTTCACAAAAACATTAGAATCATTAAAACATTAGAAACTTACTTGTATAATCTTGATATTGGAGTACCAGTTTCTCCAGCTGCTCTAGTTTTTAACTTTTCTTTGAAACTCCGAGCAGCTATTTTTCCTTCACTTGAAGAATGGTTATGGTTTTCCGCTCGAGAGTGAAACATGTCTTTTTTCAACGTTACACGTGCAGTGCACCCACATTTCCAAAATTGGGAGCATCTCCAATAGGTAGTCTCCCCTTTTTTTTTCAAAATGTTAAAAATTTCCTCTTCGAATATTAACACTCTACCTCCTCTCTTTAAGGGCATAAAATGAAAAGTATTTGTATCCATTATAACGAGAGAAAAAATGCCTAATGAATTGCCTAAAATTCCATGCTAAAAATGAACTAAAAAAAATTAAGTCGATTGACTATGATATACAAGGTCCGGCTATTAATTTCCAGGACTGACGTAACTGTAGGAGAAAGAAAAGCCGGAAGATGGCGCTAATGATTGCATATTGAAGAGTGTTCTCTTGCGCATGTGCAGTGCAATCGGCGCCATTCTGAAGTGAATGGTTCTCGTGGAAAAGCGCATTAAAACGGAGCTCTTAAATTCCTGTTGTCGAAGTGAAATGGAGCAAAGAATTAACATTAAATTTTGCTTCAAATTGGGCAAGACAGCTGCAGAAACCTACAAATTGTTAAAACAAGTTTATGGCAAGGAAGCATTATCTCGCTCAAGAACTTTTGAATGGTTTAAACGCTTTTGAACGCGAAAGCGTGGAAGATGATCCGCACACAGTTCGGCCGCAGTTCGCACGCAAGCCGGAAGCAATTGAAAAAGTTCGCGTACACACATTGCGTTTGACTGTGAGGCGATTCTCAGCTCAGCATGGTGTCGTTGAGTCGCAGCATCCACCATACCCGCCAGACCTAGCACACACTTTTTCCTGTTTCTTAAGCAGAAAAATTCACTGAAGGGAACAAGATTTCAGGATGTCGAAGCCTTCACGAAAACTGTAACGTCACTAATAAAGAGCATTCCAAAAGAGGACTTTAAAACTTCTTTCCGAAATTTGTACAGCCGAGCACAGACGTGTATTACGGCTGATGGGGATTACTTCGAATAATATTAAATGGCTATGTGTTTTTTTTTTCTTCTGAGTTATTCCATGAGTCCTGGAAATTAATAGCCAGACCTTGTATGAAGATACATATTAGTGAGAAATGTGCGTAGCTTATAACTTACAAGTAACTTTCCTTAAACAAATACTTACAGACATCAATACTAGTCACAACTGATCTAGTATTTCGATTTTTGGTTTCGATTTGTCGAGCATGCGCAGCTAATTCGTGTGTAAGAGGGAAGGTGTAGTTTACAAGCATATCACTGGCGAGATTTTTGACTTCATAGTGTTATGCCAAAAATCTATCGTATGTTAACCCCTGCACTTGTTTTCGATGTCAGTATACCTACTTCAGGGGTTCCTTTCATTCTGTTGGGGTGAGGGTAAAGACCGCAGGTGGTACGTTCGGTGAAACACCCCTAGAACCGTGTTATCATTTTTGCTGAGTTTGAAAACTTAATTGAAATAAACAAATCTAGAAATATTTTATACGATTTCGGATACTAAAGAATGGATGGATTACAGCTATTTCATATTTTATCTAAAGAAAAGATGACGTCCCCTTATTTTCGAGGTGTGTATTCTATAGACACCCTACCGATTCTACAAGAAAATTCGTGTGCGATAATGAACTCTGACGAATCCTCACAGACTGGAACTCACTGGCTGGGTATATTTATCAATAAGAAGAACGAGTTAGAATTGTATGATTCGTATGGTAGGCCACCCAGCTTTTATGGCATGAATACATCTCCTTTATTTTTACTATACAATTTTTTATTTACGTCTAAATGTGCCGGTAATTGAACATCATTTAATGTTTTTAAAAATACATTTCTTCCCACTGGAGCTGATTTTCTGTTTCGTAAAAAGTCATTTATAAGATTTACTATATTACTTCAAGGAACAGCTTTATCTTCATGAATAATTTCACCTTTAGTATTCCAAAGGAAAGATTCATTACTTTTTAAAAATTCGTATAAATCTTGAGCTTTTCTTGAAATCGAGGGGGAACTACAGTTAGAATTTTTTCCTCCAAGTTCTCTGTTTCTTTTTTGATGTTTAAAGGATCATTTTCTGCAGACGCAACTATAGGATTCTCTTTATTCGGAATTTCCTGCTCATTCGCTTGAGGTTCGGGTTTCAAAATTGAAAAATGTGTATATTTCTGCACTATTTGTAAATACTGAGCTGCTTTCTCGTCATCTGTTAAATCCTTATTCTGTAAAATATTTTTCATTTGTTGATCTAATTCTGATAAGTGTTCTTGAACCTGAACCCTGTCTTCTGGAACTAATACAAATTTCTTACTGTGCTCCATGAATTAAAGAACTAATAATTGATATAGCAGCCGGTAATAAAATAGACAAAAATCCTTCCCCCTTTTGAATAATAATTTTCTTTTTCTTATATAGGGGTATCTTTTTATTTGAAAGTTTTCGCAAGCTTTCTTTAAAAGGGTAAAATCGACTTTTTTGAACTTTTGTTAGGATAATGTTTCCAGACAACACGTTTAATACACACTCACACAAAGTTTTTATCTCACTCTTTGAACACTTTTTCAAAAGTGACTCAGAATTTTTAGTTTTAGAAATTAATTTTAAGAGCTGTAAAGTTTGTTCAGTACACACTGACATCTTGTAATCAAATGAAGGATGTAATTATTATTAGAGTCTATTTATCGTTCTCTAAGAATCTAGCAAAAGCTTTCACCTTATTGAGTGCGCACCTCTTAAAATTAGAAGTGTGCATGGAACAAGAGTTTAAATTTATACCTAATTGATCAATTTTTGGACATCCTACATCTTCTAAATTTTTACAAAATCTTCCAATCAAAAATTCTATAAATCTCTTTTTCTCTAATCCTTTAACATAAATCTGAGTGAATATATTAGACAAAAAATTCACAACGGTGTGTAGTTGGTGATATGGTAGTTCTCCTTCATCCCATTCTATTAAATGTATATGTTTTGTTGCCCATTTATATTGAAATTTTTGATGGTAAGTAAGTTCTTCGAAAGAACAGGGGGGAAGAAAATGAAAATTACCGACGAAGGAATTACTATTTACTGCCTGAAAAGCAAGTTCCTTTGCGATATAGCCCCCTGAAGGTAATTGAAACCCCTCGAAATCTATAACGACAGCAGACATGTTACTTCCACAAATTCGTTTGCTTTAATAATATTATCGTGGTTGGTAAACATAATAAGTATCTCCAGGAAACAAAGCTGTACGCATGCGTAAAGATTCATCCGTATCACTTTTTAAATCTAATAATAAATAAGAATATGGTTTAAATGTTGCGTCTTCAAAGCTTTCTTGAAAAAATTTTGATTTTGATGGGTATAATTGTCTCCCTAAATGAGCTACTTGTGATCGATCTCTCGGATTTTTAAAAAGCACTAAGTAATGTGAGTTTAAAGAGATTTCTCTCATTTCTTTACCTTTATGAAATATGTTTTGAACAATGAATATAATTGAAAGGTTTTGGTGATGTGATCCCTTTGTAAACATTTTAGTTAATCTCGAGTCACCATATAACTCACTCATTAAATCATCGATTATAATTAAAGTATCAGTTAATTTATTTATATTGGAAGGAATTCCTTCGTTAAATATAACTCCCGGTATTTTCGTATAAAGATTTTGAAACACTCCATAGCACCAAATTGTATTTTTAGGAAAAGGATTTATCATTCTATAATTAATGAGCTTCTTCACAAATTCAGATTTCCCACACCCAGTTGGACCCGCAACGATCATTGTGAAAGGCGACTTTAACTTTAACGTATCCATCTCACTTAAAAATATTTTGCTTTTTCAATTAGAAAATATACCAACATTACTAATATTAGACTAAATAAAATAATTTTAAAAATAAAACTGGGAAAATATTGAAAGAAAACATGAATAAACAGAACAACCAATTTCAGACAGTTAAAGATTTTTTAATGTTTGATATAAAAATATAAAGTTATACATTTTCAATGGCATAGTGCCCAAAAGGTAAAGTATTTATACCATCAGGTAAGANAAATGATATTATTAAACCTTCACATAGTCCCTATTCAGCCCCTGTAACGATGGTTACTAGAAAAGATGAGGGAAAAAGAAATAGACTTTGTATAGAATTTAGGCGATTAAATTTAGTAACAAAATCAGATGCTCCAGCCTTGATCTTTCTTGTTGGATAGCTTCAAGAATGGCAGACCTGTGTCATCTGCCCCACTGTTTAATTTGCATGGTTTCCATGTGGACACCAAAAGCTCCCAGTTCTTCGTATTTTCGCCTGGAGCTCTTGACTCTACTCTCCTCGTCAGAGGGTGAGGAATCTTCGTTGGATGAATAACGCCTTTTGCGGCTTCCAGGTAAACAACAGCATGGACAAGTCGGGAGGAGCGGCTCGTTCATTCGTGATGGGCCTGCTTGACCCACATTTTCAATGCGCCTCACGCCTTTCTTATTAGCAGAGGTTTCGCTGGAAGAACTCAATCTGCGCCGTTTGCACACTGGCTGGATGTTTTGATCTTCAACAGAAGAATCATCATCTTTTTCTCTTTCTTGGCGCCATCTTTCTTCTCCCCATGTTTATTTCAGCGAGCTATTCGCCAAATACTGCAAAAACATTTGCTAAAAATTTCTTTGAGATATTTTATTGCGCGGGTGGATTCATTTTACAAATAAAGATTTCATCGCTATTCAACGGAACTTACTATATATGCGAGTTAAGTACGTGAAAGAGAAATTTAATGTTCTCAGAAACCAGATAAGCTTATTTGCAGATAGATATAATTCTTTTTAAGTTTAGTCTCAAAAGATCCTTTTAATTTTACACGGTACCTTCGGATGAAGATTTTAAAAAAAACTTTTTTTTTACTCTAATTTAACATATTTTAGCATTATTTACATATATCTTTGTTAAATTTTAAATATTAAGCTAATTTGAAACATTTTTGATAATAATTTTTTCTAAAAAATAGGAAAATATGAAAAACACAAAAATTTAAAGCCGCGCCTGAAATTTCACCCAAATATTATTAAAAATTTTCCTGAAACATATAATGATAATATAAACACTTTCTTGCAAACAGTCATTGTTTAATTTTATTAGTTTTTGAAAAAAAAATTATTTTCACTGTCGATAATTTTTTTTCAAAATTTTTTTCTTCTCGCTATAATTAAACCACTACAATTTTTTTTTAACTTATATGAGACAGTAGAAAAAGTTTTAGGCAAATCAGTCAAAAATTCAGACGCGCCCTTCAAATAAAAGACAGAAAATACACAAAAAAAAATTATCAGAGAAAAACAAATTTATTTGTGTAAATGAACCATACATTCCTCTAAGAGTGATAAAATTATACAACAAACATATTAACACCATCCTGTATGTTTCTTATAGAGATAAACACTATATTATTACCAGGAAATGTATAATGCTTGCCTTTTTACGAGAAAAGAGTTCTCGTTATGCATTTTATCAACGTATTGACATGTCGACAATTTTTGCTTCTAGCTGCAATTAAGCCAGTGCAAAAGATTTTTTAATCATAGTTTCATAAGAAGTATTGATACAAATTCTTTATGATACACATATAAAACAGAAGAAGAAATTTAAAGCAAATTCCTCTCAAATTCAGGCTCTGATTACGAAGAAAAAGAGGAATCTTACAGACAATTTTATTGGAAAAAAAGAATTTTTATGTGTAAACGAGCCAAATATAGTTCAAAGAGATAATATCATACATAAAACATAACAATACCTTCCTGTTTGTTTCTTATAGTATTAAATACTATATTATTGCCAGCACAAATGCGTAGTAAAAATAATTCCATTTAATGCATGCTGTAAAATGTTTTGTAGTTTCAAATGTAAACAAAAAGCAAAATACATTATAAAAAAAACTATTATAGTAAATACAAACTATAATAACAAAAAATAATAAACAGATAAAATTTTACAATGATTGCTTTTCAATAAAAATGTGTGGCATGATTCGTAGTGAGTACACTACACATCACCCATAACAAATATATATGACCATATCCAGCATAAAGGGTAAAAAAAATTTGTGTTCATGGATGTAAATGTTCTATACATCAAAATGCTCCACGGCTGTATGTTACACCTTCAGTCTTTTTTACTTTACTATCAGCACTTTTTTTGTTGTATTTTTTTTCTTTGGCTGCCTTTTTGTAAGCACTAGATTGCCGCCTGACACTTTGCTTGATCCTACGAGCATCTATTTTGTGGGCAACCTTAAAAAATGAAGTGTTACTTTTTATCGCTGCAGTTG